CAATATTTAATGATATATACATATATATATATATATATATATATATATATATAATTTGAGGGCCATGAATCTAGAGCATGCATGATTTTGGACCATAAGAAAAACACAGAAAGGACAAGGAAAAGTTATGCATGATCTGGCAGGTATCTTGACTTCTTGTTTCACAACCATTCAAAAGTTTACTCCATGATGCACTTGAAGCTTTGATTAAAACGCGTGGTCTTTTGAAGAAGGAAAAGAAAAAAAGAAAAAAAAAAAAAAAAAATTGACTGGCTTTCTCACCTGTGGCTTGTGGGCCTTTGGAATTTATAATATGACCTTCCTGTTGTATTGGAGACTTTGACCGTATGAATGGTCATTAGTTAATGCCAATAATGTTCATCCCAAGATCATGTTGTAGTTGGGAAGCCAATGGAGAATGATGTCCATCTGTAAATGTGCATGGGAAACAAGTTATATGTGTCACATGGCAGCCATTCCCTATTGAGAGGAACTTCTAAGAAAAGGAAACATTCAATAAATAATTCAATTAATCTTAGTTGTGGTTGCTAACTTAGTCTAACCATAATTTTATGACTCATCTTAAAGTTAAAGGTAAGAATTTTTGAGTCCTCATCTCTAAGTTCAATTAAGACAGAGAGAGAGAAGAATCCCATCAATGATCTATCAGTTTAATTAAATGCTTAAGTAAACGAGTTTCCCTAGGCAAAGATCCAAGCACAATTGAGTTAAACTAAAAGGATCTCTCCTATAGTATAAGAAAAAACGAAATATTGATAATTTTTTAATTTTCAGACGTCAAACATATATTAAAATTTATCTATTCTGTATATTTTTTTAATCTAATATAATTTTAATCAGATCTAACAATCAAAAATTAATACTATCGATAAGTAAGCCTACCAAAAAAAAAAACCCTAAACTAAGTAGCCACAGAGAATCCCATCTTAAGGGGTAATAAGCCCCCCACCATCCCCCACCTATATAAGAAAGTTTCTTTTTCAGTCTTACAGTGCAACTGCAAATGCACGTTTACATTTGTGGAAAATTATGGAATTTATAACAATACCTGATCCTGATGTCGACCTTCTAGACCACACTTTTCCCCCGTCGTGTTAGCTCAAACAATGTTTCGATCGAATTGCCCACTAAACAATGAAATAAATATCAGAGTTTCTCTAATTGAACCGTAAAAGATGAATTATTAATAATTTTTTACTTTCAATCGTCACATTTATATTAAAAATTATCCGTTTTATGTATTTTTTTAATTTAATATAATTTTTATCAAATTTAATAATTATAAATTGACACAATTAACAATAGTTATACTATCCTACTAAAAAAAACTCTCAATAAATATATCCTTTTAGTGTTTATTTACTTACGTCATGGTATTTATTACTCTAAAAAACAAACATCATGGTATGTCAATAATGTAGAATTCACTATAGACTTATCGCGTATGAAAAAATATTTATCGGAAGGATTCTATTGTTAACGGTAAAAATCTGATAATTGTTAATTTTTTTTATTTTTTTATTTTAATGTGAAGAGTTTGTTTGACAAATATATTTAAACTCGTGATTATAATTTTACTACAGTATTGTCCTTTCATAAAGAATTTAAATTCAAAATTTTTTCACTAATAATTCTCTCACAAAGTTTCCATTAACGAATTAGAATCACTGATTTGAATGCGTGAACGAAACTGACTCTAATGGGATGTTTGTTTTAAGGATTTATCCCTGGTTCTGAATCATAATTCTTGATTCTCTACAGTATTTTTCTCATAAAAAATTTAAATTTTTTATTTTAATGTGAAGAGTTTGTTCGACAAATATATTTAAACTCATGATTATAATTCTACTACAGTGTTGTCCTTTTATAAATAATTTAAATTTAAAAATTTCCCACTAATAGCACTCTCACAAAGTTTTCACTAATAAATTAGAATCACTGATTTGAATGTTTGAACCAAATGGACTCTAATGAGATGTTTGTTTTAAGGATTCGTCACTAGTTCTGAATCATAGTTCTTGATTCTTTACAGTATTTTTTTCTCATAAAAAATTTAAATTTTAAAAATTAAAATAATAAATTATAATGCTGAATCCATGAACTAAATATTCTATTAGTATCTCATGTAAAAAATAAAAATAAAAACTAAGGAAAAAATATTTAAAATTTTTTTTAATAAAAAACTCCCCTTCTCTTTATTATGAACACGGTTGACCAGGCTTTCTAATGATAGTTGCCAAAAGTCACATCATGTCATGCGGTAATAATTGCTTTGTTTTACCCTGCTTTTAAGCACAATTTTGATTTCTTGCACTACCCTTTTGATTTCCCTACACCAAAGTATAAACAGACATGCGAAAATACGAATGCTTGTCAGGCTATAAAAAAAGTAAAAGAAATGTTAAGAAATAAAGAAATAAAAGAAACGTTAAGCAAAATCCAGTTCTACATTTTCGGCTACACACTATTGAATCAATTCCACGATGTTAGTTAACTAAGCAACAAATAACAATGTGAAAACATGTATCCTTACTCATAAATAAATAAATAAAATAACAATGTGAAAACAAGGAAGGGAGATAACTTTTCCTAATTAACAAGGCAGTTCAATTCCAAACAACAATTGCTCCATATTTTTCACACTTTTTTTTTTTTTTTTTTTTTTTTCCTTGGATCGGTCGGTAGTGCATACTTTTAAAACAGTAAATTTTAAGAAGTATGAATGTTTAAATGCCCTACTAAATTCATGTTATGTTTAATTAAGGTCCCTTAATTTAGTACAATCTGAAAAGCGTTTATAAATAGGAAATTCTGTACTAAGATAGAAAAAGAAAACAACACTATATTGTTTATACATTTATTAATAGAAAGATGGCTATCCATCTTGTCGTGGTTGGTATTAAAATTTAGTGTAAAGTTATACCATTATTTTTGTGAAGGAAAATGGTTGTGCTATAATAATAGTTAAACTTTTCAGGTATTATATTTTTTTCATTAAAACTTGATGAATTTTACATATTATTTAATCTAGATCTAATCATGAAATGATCACAAATACAAGCTGAACTATTAATGATACTTGTTTTATACTCAAGAGGGAATTGAAAATAAAAAGAGGAAACGCTGCTCTTATTCACAAAATATCCACCTCCTTTCATATTAGTGAGACTAACATATCCATAAGTTAAACCGTTTCAGACAAAAATTAAAAACTACAAATAAACTGGGAAACTAAATAATTCTGAAATTAAAATTACAAAAAAAAAAGGAAACTAACTTATACTTGGACAGAGAATTAATTCAAAATTAAATTTAACTTATAAATTGAATTATTACAAAAGAAAATTTTCCTAATTGCAAAGTTACCAATTCAATTAACTCAAGCCTTCTCAAATAAAAAAGAACCTTAATTGTCACATGATTTGTTAACCAATATAAGCTGCATCAAAGTCCTTCCATTAAAAAATAAACACACTTTTTGAAAAAGATATTTCTATAACAAGACATGAAAAAAAAAAGTCCTATTATTAGGCACAACTATAAAGGGTGAGATCCATCAGACTCATATATATTAAAAAAAAAGCATTATAAAGTAAGGAACTTTAACTTAATTTAATATCTTACTATTCTGTTTTATCACATTATATTTTTTTAAGCATAAAATTCTTTCTTTCTTTCTTTGATTTTGCTTTTTTTTTTTTTTTTTTTTTTTTTTTTTTTTTTTTTTTTTTTTTTTTTCTGTTTTTTCTTCTTCAGAATGACAAATAGTGTGTACTGAAGTGTGATTGACAAAACAAATCATTTTTTTCTTTTTCTAATGAAAGCAAATTATAAGGTAGGGTCAGCTAGGCCACAAACTACAAAAAAGAGTTGAATGTGCAAATGCCACTTTCCCACATTGTACAATATCACTCCTTTTACAACTCCAAGGCTCCAAAATTGAGGTGAGACTTTGGATAGGAAGGAGTAATAACAATAATATTTCATTCATTCAGAGACAAAAAAAACTTTCAACTTTCAACCACAAACTAAACTAAATCAAAACCAAAACCAAATAATGGGGACTGATTCCCCATTGCCAAAGCTGCTTCTCACACATCTTCTCTGTTCCACAACATTCTTTTGCATCTTCTCAAGCTTTGGATTTGCAGCCACACCCAAGCTTCACACAGAAGAAGGTATGCAAAAAAAAAAAAAAAAAAAAGAGACTTTCTTCAACTTTTCTTTCATTAATCCCATTTGATTGAAATCATGGGTATTGTTTCAATCAGGGAAAAGAAAAAGAACAGTTAATGGGGTATTGTTCAAATGTTCCAGATTTGCCCGTTTTGTTTGTTTTCTGTCATTTTCTCAGCAAACAAACAGGAACTAACTTCTGGGTTGTGTTGAAATGGAGCAGTGAAGGTGCTGAGAGAGATAGGAAGAAAGCTGGGGAAGAAAGATTGGGACTTTGGGAAAGACCCATGTAGTGGAGAAGGAAACTGGAGGGTTTTAACTGGTCGGAAAGGCTCTGAGAGTTCAGTTAGTTGTGATTGTTCCTTCAACAACAATTCCTCTTGCCATATCGTAAGCATGTACTGATAATCCCTTCAATTTATTAGACTTCTTAATGTTATTCGTTCTTCTGTTCTTTGTTTGAATAAAATATCAACTCATCAGTTCTTGCTCAACTTTAGCTTTTTTGTTTTAGAAATTCTGTAGGAACTTGTCTTTTTTATTGTTGATAGAAAAAGTCATTTTAACCGTTCTATTAAATTTTTGCTCACATTAAGCCTCATTTATTTTCTTAATTCCAATAACAACTCAAATTTTTATTACAATATTTTTTTTAATAAAAATTTAAATTTGACTTTTTATATTATAATATTATTTTAACATAAATTTATTTTTTAACTTAAATTGAGAATTCAAATCAATGAATCGAACAATGATACAAAACTGATTTAATTCATATATCACATAAGATTAATCAAACAACTTATACAGAAGTATTTACCAGTGGTATAAAGGACAATACATACTCATTTCTTTTATAGTTTATTTTTGTTATTATTTCAACAAATGCACAACTTTCTCTCTAGATTTGTGCTAACTAACTTATAGAGTGTTTAATATGAGAATTTGTGTTATGATTTGAATTATAATTCGTGATTCGTTACAATATTTTTCTTATATTCTGAATCATAATTTTAAATTTATAAACTAAATGTCTAACTTAATGTGTCCGTAAAGAGAGAGAGAGGGAATTCATTTGTGATGTGATGAGGCAGTAAACTGAGGAGACTTTTGAGAGTAGAACAGCACGTATGATGTTGAGAATTGAGATATTTTTTAATATAAATATTGATTTTTTTGACGCAAAAATGGAGATTAATGGTGTGTTTGGTAAAAGGATTCGTATCCTGATTCAAATTATGATTTATAGTTTGTTATAATGTTTTCTCTTATAAAAAATACACATAAATTAAAAATAATTATAATTTCATAATTTTAATTTATGAATTAAACGTAAAAATAGTAGCGAATGGGAGGAGGTCTCAAATCAAGCATTGGTATGAGGCCAAATGAGTGGTCGTCATTTGGTTGGCGACTTGCCAGCCATGGCTGCTTTCAGGGACACGGATTTTTAAGATTCGCCTCCAAAGTTGAACTATAAGACAGTCAACCTTTTTTCTTTTTCCTCCTCTTCCCTGGTGAAAACCCAAAAAAAAAAAAAAAAAAAAAAAAAAAGAAGTTTAGGATTGGGTTGAAAACATCATATCATATGCCGTTTAATGCCGTTTAGCTTTATCTCTTCTTGCCCTTTCTATTTGTTTGCCCTTTTTCTCTTTTAAACTGATACTACTGTTCTTCCGAGAAAATAAAAAGATTGTGCGCTAAAGTATGGATATAATTTTTTTTTCTTTTTTTATTTGAAGAGTTGTAAAATAGAGTAAAAAATCGTCACAGTTTCACCAAGTTTTATTATATTGACATGATTATAATATGGTTTGATTGTTTAAAACTATATTTTATTATTAGAATTTTAATTTTATTTTTGAAATATGATATTGTATACATATATATTTTTCAAAATACATGGTAGGTATATTGGTGGAAAACATTATTGTCTAAGGGTAAAAAAATAAATTACAACTACAATTGATGCCTCGTAACCCAAAAAAAAAAAAGTTAGGAGATGTTTGGTTCATGAATTAGAATCATGTGATTAGAACTATTTTCGATTTACGTGTATTTTTTGTGAGAGAAAACACTGTAGCGAACTATGAACTATGATTCAAATCATGATTTGAATCCTCCAACCAAACATCCCCTTAGTGACATTCTAAGTCGGCAGGGTGCTCATGGTGGAGGCCCAACACCTGCCATTGGGCCGGTGACCCGGCCCATGAGAAGCTGAATGGTGTCTGTAATTCGAACCGGTGTGCACAACCAAAGGAAAAGAACATGCATATAGGTCCCGTTCCTTTCGTTTTTCTGAGATGAGAACTTGAGTTGAAAAATATAACTAAATTTGAGTTGAAAAATAAAGTTATATGAGAAAAAATATTGTAATAGAAAAGTTAAATTTGAATTTTTATAAGAAAAAATACTATAATAAAAAGTTTGAGTTGTAATTTAATTGTGAAAGGAATGAAGCCATAACATACTCATATATTAAACTTCAAAATGGAGTTACCCTTTATGTCTCTCGGTAGATTAAAATGCACAGCTGAAGTTCCTTACTCCTTAGAACTTGGTATATGTAGCAAAAGTTGAGAACTTCCTAATCATGTTCATATTCATGAATTTTTTATTTTTTATTTTTTTATTTTTTTTGCTGAATTCATATTTATGACTTATTAATCAGGAAAGATAACTACTAAGATGTAAATGAGGAACTTTATGCCAATAGATTTGCCTCGTGCATTGTATCTACTCGAGTTTGTTCTAGTTCTCACGCCATGTTTGGAAAGGTCTTTAATTACTATAGTTTGTTTATTAACATTGCAGAGCTTTAAAGGCCCAGAACATATCAGCTAGTCTTCCACCAGAGTTCTCTAAGCTTGCTTACCTTAGTATACTGTAAGTCAAAGCAGTTGTTCTTCTCTGTTGTGAACTGAGTTTATCTTTTTCCCATTTCTGTCATTTCATTTGTCAATCTTTACCAACCTTGAATTCCTTTCCGTTTGCGCAGAGATTTGAGTCGAAACTATTTCACGGGTTCTATACCTCACGAATGGTCTACGATGCACTTGACCGAGCTGTAAGCAACTACTCTCTATTTCCTGTTTGACAATTTATCTACATTCAATTGAACTAAATTCTTCTTTGTTTTGTCTGCAGTTCTTTGATGGGCAACAGATTGTCTGGTCCATTCCCAAAAGTTCTCACCAATATTACCACCCTCAGAAACCTGTATACTTAATCCTTTCCTTAAATTCTCATGGGATCATCATGTATGGAGATATAATTATTTTCTAGTTTGGAATGGATTCACGCGCACACACATACATACATGTTTTTGAACTTGGGGTTGGGGCGATTTGCACCCTTCAACTCATGGTGGAGTCAGGTGTAGATTTACCACTGTGCTAATGCTTGCGACCACATTTACTATTTTAGATGCATGCCTTTATTCAAGCCTTTGTTCACTATCTATTGGAATGGAACCCAACATGAGACGTGTACATTCCAATCTTTCTATTCTAAGAGAAACCTAAAAGAAAATTTTGTACCACGTATCATCATTTTTGATAATGGTCTTCCCTCTTTCAGATTTAAGCAGATTTATGATAGGCATGCATGTCTGCATTTGACTTTGCTACTATAGTAGTCTCAAAACAGTTCCATACTTTGTTCAAAACAAATTGTATACTGATCCATGTAAAATACAGGAGCATCGAGGGAAACCTATTTTCAGGACCCATTCCTCCAGAAACTGGAAAGTTGATCAATCTGCAGAAATTGTAATTTCTTTTCGCCTTCAAGCCTTCACAACGTGCATAGTTTATGAAAATGAGCACTAATATGAATAAAGCTTCTCCATATTATTATATTCAACTATTAGTAACAAAAGTATCATCACCTACCTTTGTTCAGCGTTATAGCTTCGAATGGTTTCACAGGAGTTTTGCCAAGTGAACTGGGAAAGTTAATCAACCTGACTGATATGTAAGTTTGCACTTTCTTTTCCATTAGCAATATTTTTTTCCTTCTTTTTATTTTTAACTTTTTACGAGAATATGGTAACCGATCCGTGTAGTCCCTGCTTATTCGTTGTGCTTCTAGACAATAATTTTTTAGCATTCCTACTAATTTTTCTTCCCTTTTTCTGCATAAATCTTAGGAGGATTAGTGACAATAACTTCTCAGGCAGAATACCCGATTTCATTGGAAACTGGACATGGGTAGAAAAACTGTAAGCTCCCTTGATGTAACGTCATTATGTGAATTCAAAGTAAAAGCTCATGCTGATCCCGAAAGGGTTTCACCTTATTTCGCAGGCATATTCAGGGTTGCACTCTTGAGGGACCTATACCTTCTAGCATTTCCGCCTTAACAAGGCTAAGTGATCTGTATGAAGCTTCAACATTTTATGTTTTCTTTTCTTGCAAACGATAAGAGCAAGTGAAGTAACATTTCTTCTTTTGGCTTAAAATTTTTAGGAGGATAACTGACTTAAAAGGCAAAGGGTCACTTTTTCCTCCGCTGAGTGATATGGAGTCGTTAAGAACACTGTGAGTATGATTCCTTGCGAAAGATATTTTTCTTTTACTTATCTCAATTCAACCTGATTTTTTATTCAAAAAGTGGACGCATTGATTTTGTTACACAGGACACTGAGGAACTGCTTACTTTATGGAAGCATCCCAGAGTATGTTGGACATATGAGAAGATTGAAGAACCTGTAAGCATTTGAAAAAATATATATATATATATATTCTGGCTATACTTTTCTCTTGCCACTCCTTTTAGATACGGGCTGTAATTATCTCATCTAAGGATTCATTACATTCTTTCATTGCTTAAGCATTCTGCACACTAATTTGAAATTTGTCTTCTCAATGTAGAGACCTCAGTTATAATAACTTGACTGGTGAAATTCCTGCCTCTTTTGTCCAGCTGGATAAAGTAGATTTCATGTAATCATAAAATATCCCAGATACAGCATTTTCTTTTTTAGTTCTCTTGCAGACCCATTTTCATTCAATTTTTTTTTTTCTTTTTGGGGTCTAGGTATTTGACAGGAAACAAACTTACTGGAACTATACCAGAATGGGTACCGGGACGAAATCACAATCTGTATGTAGTTTTTTTTTCCTCAACCTTCTGCTTATCTATCTTCTTTTTGTAGTATTTAGTTGCTGTATACAGATAAATATGATGCACCAATGATACATGACATTCTTGCAAACTATGATTTGGGATGCCAACATGAAATAATTCCTTCATAAAGAGTAAGATTATCAGAACTTACATTTTGTATCACTTTGTTGATTTTTGGTTTGCAGGGATATTTCTTACAATAATTTCACTTGGGATAGCTCAAGTCCCGTGGAATGTCCCCGAGGAAGCGTGTAAGTAACGATTACATAAATCTTAGTACATATGTGATCATTATGTGGGATTACCAAAACATTTTGTCTATATTTTTTCCCAGAAACCTTGTGGAAAGCTACTCCTCATCAGCAGATAATCAGTAAGAACTTTTAGTGAACAAAGTTTTACATCCTTTCCAATTTATTTCTGTTGGTGCTTGTGCTTTGCGAGTAATACTAGCTCCTGCGAAGGGCACGTTCACAATTCACCTCCAGGATGTATAATTAGTGCATATGTTTTATAATTGCAGAAAGATTCATTCATGTCTAAAAAGAAATTTTCCATGTCATGCTTCTGGCAACCAACGTGAGTATATAAGTACTCTTTTTGGAATATACGTGTGATATGTGGTGTATATACGGCACTGAGGCGCCACTTCTCTGGTTCCTTTCAGAAGATGTTAAAAACAGTTTTCTACCTTGAACCATTTTTTTCTATTTTTCAAACCAAAACAGATCGATATTCTTTGCACCTTAACTGTGGTGGAAAGGAAGTAAACATCAATGGCCAGAAGTATGAAGCCGATAGAGAACAAAGAGGGGCTTCAATGTTTTACTTAAGCCAGGATTGGGCATTGAGCAGCACAGGAAACTTTGTGGACAATGACATGGATGCAGATACCTATATTGAGACCAACACCTCCACTATCTCCAATGTCTCCGGGCTGATTTCGGAATTATATACGACTGCACGTGTGTCTCCCCTCTCTCTCACCTACTATCGACTCTGTCTCATGAATGGAAACTACACAGTCAGGCTTCACTTTGCTGAGATCATATTTACTAATGACAGATCATTTTATGATCTTGGAAAGCGCGTATTTGATGTCAATGTCCAGGTAAGTTTACTTAGAACACAACATGTACATGGTTGAGAATCCGATGTTAATGCTAATGACTTAATACTAACTGATTCAGTGTTCTTTTCTGCATATAGGAAAAGTTGGTACTAAAAGATTTTAATATAGAAGATGAAGCTGGTGGAGCTGGTAAACCCATCGTGAAGAATTTCACTGCTGTTGTCACAAACAATACGCTAAAGATCCACTTTTACTGGGCTGGCAAAGGGACAACAGGAATCCCAGATAGAGGTTTTTATGGTCCTCTCATTTCGGCTATATCAGTAGATCCTAGTAAGTTCTGCAAATTCCCTTTTTAGCTCTCTTTGCAATATATCATATGCCTAGGTATATATAAGATTGTTGTTAATCTTCATTAAAGTTTTTATTTAATGGACTATAATTCTTGTTTTGCAGACTTCAAACCGCCTTTGGTTACTGACAAGAAGAACCATATCATATTAGCAGCGGGGATATCGGCTGCTGCTCTATTTCTTGGCTTGCTTGTTGTGGGAATTATGAGAAGGAAGGGCTGGCTGGGAGGCAAAGTCTCCACAGACAAAGGCATGGACTTACAAACTTCAAAATATCAAATTAAAAGAGACGCAAATTTTATTGCATATTTTAAATGAATGTGTGCCTGCTAGTAAACTCCACCATTTTCGTGTCTCTTTATCGGTTACTAATACAATGACTGCAGACCTTGTACATTTCATACTAATATCATTATTCATATTCAACTTCTTTAACTTTTACTGAACCAACAATGAAGGTTAACCTGTTCTCTTATTTCTTTAAATATGAATTGCTGAATTTTACTCCCATATTTGAGGATCCTCTTGAAAACTTTCAATCCGAACTTGTGAGATAGTAGAATACGCTAAAGTAAACTTTACACATAAGTGAAAAAATAAGGAAACTTTTTGAATAATTCCTCTGTCACATCTGAAACAGAGCTCAGAGAAATGGATCTGCAAACAGGTATATTCACTTTAAGACAGATCAAGGCAGCTACGAAAAATTTTGATGCTGCAAACAAACTTGGCGAGGGTGGTTTCGGTGCAGTATACAAGGTATATTCTATGTTACCTTATCTTTATCTAAGTACTCATCTGCTCAAAGTGTTTTCATATTTAACTTTCAGTACTTCCCTTTCAGTCTCATTTTGCTTCCAGAAGTAAATCCAATATGCTCTTCCACATGAATTTACATCAACATCTTTTCTATCAATGACTCAATTGATTCTCGTTTTTTGCAGTGACCACTCGATGCCGTTAATACGTAACTTTGTATTTCTCATGGAAAAAATGTAGAATAACTTGAACTTTTATGGATGTAGGGCCAATTAGCAGATGGTACTGTAATAGCAGTAAAGCAGCTCTCATCGAAATCGAAGCAAGGAAATCGTGAATTTCTGAACGAGATAGGCATGATTTCTGCCCTGCAGCATCCAAATCTTGTGAAGCTACATGGTTGTTGTGTTGAAGGGAACCAGTTGATGCTGATCTATGAGTTTATGGAAAACAATTGTCTGTCCCGCGCACTTTTTGGTGAGATAATATCGTTCAAACCGTTTTGTGAGCTGTGGAATACCATTTAAATGAAAGGCGCTTTTGACACGCAGAGAAAGGTTAATTCAACTCTTATTCTTTTTCTGATCACATACAGGGAAGAACCCTTCAAGCAGATTGAGACTAAATTGGTCTACGAGGAAGAAAATTTGCCTAGGTATTGCTAGAGGTTTGGCCTATCTTCATGGAGAGTCGGTGCTAAAAATTGTACACAGGGACATCAAGACTAGCAATGTTTTGCTTGACAAGGACTTCAATGCTAAAATTTCTGATTTTGGATTGGCAAAGCTTAATGAAGATGACAACACCCACATCAGCACTCGGATAGCTGGGACCATGTAAGCTTTTACTGAAGAACATGCAGTAAAAAATTTCTTCTGAGTTCTCTCTTGTAAAATGAACTCATTTGGCCATAATATCATTGTATATGATTTTGTCCATTTCGATCAATAGCTAGATACTACCATATGATTCCTGTTATAGCTAATACAGTCTTAAATCACTCTTTTTAGGTCAGATTTCTATGTAAGGATTGAATATGGAACTTTTTGCTGAAAGCTCTTTCAACTGTTGCTTTTGCAGTGGTTATATGGCTCCGGAGTACGCAATGCGTGGTTACTTAACCGACAAGGCAGATGTTTATAGCTTTGGAGTTGTGGCATTGGAGATAGTCAGTGGAAAGAGCAACACAAATTACCGGCCAAAGGAGGACTTCGTCTACCTTCTTGACTGGGTAATTAAACTGTTTCAAAATTCCATTCCCTTCCCTTCACTCACTTGAATCCTCCTCTAGTTTGTGCTATACAAAATTCATACATGAGCATGCATTAATTTTGGTGATGAAGTATAAAAAGTGAGTAGAAAAAAAATGAATACATATTTGGCAATGTCACTCATCCATGCCGCCTTTTTTGCTTAACTCAATCGACTTCTTGTTCAATCTCTCAACTTTGAAAGAACTCTCAAAGGCATATATAGAATAACCCGTCTTTATTTTGTTACCATGCTTGTCAAAGCTTAAAAGCATCTTCATTCCTAATTTTAGGCTTGGTTTTGTCAGGCCTATGTTTTGCAAGAGAGAGGGAATCTATTAGAGTTGGTTGATCCAGCCTTGGGTTCAGAATACTTGTCCGAAGAGGCGATACTAATGCTAAACGTTGCTCTCTTGTGCACCAATGCTTCTCCAACACTTCGGCCTACGATGTCGCAAGTAGTAAGCATGCTTGAAGGCCGAACCGAAGTTCAGGACCTACTCTCTGATCCTGGCTTTTCTTCCATGAATTCCAGGTATAGAGGCTCCAAAAATCACTTCTGGCAAAATCCAAGTCGTTCCCAAACCGTGTCAGTCAATGGCTCTTGTACCGATAGCTCTAGTTCATACATTGAAACAGCAGAGAACAGCCAGCTTTTAAGAGTTACTTCAGTTAAAACTGAAGAGTAAATTACACGCATATAATAGTCAATGTTTATGACTTTATAGGGATAAAAGGTATCCAAATGTACATGTTGTGTAAAAAGTTTTAATTCAATATTTATATTCATATATGGTTGATAAAATCATCTGTGTATAACTAGTTCGTGTTGGTCTTTCCTCTTAAGAAACATGGGATTCCCTTGATGCAATGTCCATGTTGAATGAATCCAATTAAAAAAATAAGTTACAAAGTGAAACTACTAAATGCGTTAAGGAGAACAAGGACAAAGAATTCCAAGAATTGGTTCCCCACAACTCATCTAGTAAATGGTAGTTGATAAAATTCTCCCTATCTTCACTAAAATATTGTAGTAGTAATAGATGAACTAAGGCACCGCAAAATTGAACACTCAAAACAAAGAGAAGAACCTTCTAGCCTCTTCATCCTCTAGCCATCTCTTCTAACCTTCTTCTCTATCATCGGCGAACCAACCTTATCTTCTCTGATTAGGTTTCTCATTATTTTTCTTTGCATGAACATGCCCAGCCCCTCCACCTTCTAGCCACCTTTTTATTCTCCATGTGAAGCCAAAACCATGTCAGATAATAAAGAGCTTCACACAGAGGAGCCAAGAATGACGACTTCGCGGCCGCCATGCAGTGAAGCCAAAGAATAGGCAACTTTTTCACATTTTTAATGCTTATTTAATATTGCATGCTAAGTGTTGGAGTAAATGTTTTAATATGTATGTAGTGTTTAGCATGTTTCAAGAATGCTTCTATAATTTTCTAGGCAAGTAAATAGGTTTCAATGTTTTTAAATGACAACTAATATTCTCCAAGGTGTATGAGGCGCGCAGGGCGTGCTCGTAAGGTGCGCAAGGTATGCTTGTAAGGCGTGCAGCGCGTGCACCCATGCTCCCAGCACGCAAGGCCAGCAAGGCGTGCAACCATAGAATGAAGCTTTACATTGAAAAGCTAAATTAAAGATCACTTGATATAAACTTGAAAGTTGGAGCAGCAAACAAAAAAAACAAAACAAAAAACAAAACAAAAAACAAAACAAAACAAAACAAAACAAAAAAAAAAAACCTGATTAAACATGTAATTGAAAAGCACAATTCTGACCCATTTGCTGCATAAATCCTTTGTCATCCATAGAAAACTATTTCAAAATTTAACACAGTGCTGGATTTCTTTTTATCTATATTGGTTTAAGGGAACAAAAAAGATTAAAAAAAAAAAGTTCTCAAAAAAGAAAAAAATTTTACCAAATTTCATAATTATTTAATTATTTTTAATTTTTATAAGTTCCAGTATTTTTCTTTTGAATTTTTAAATAAACTAGTGAAATGCGGGATACGGTTCAGCCGAGCGATTGGGGCAAACATGAACTTAAGTTAAATAATGCAGAGCCCAAGATGTCTAAAGTACGTAGAACGCAAAACTTGTTTTGTTTTAATTTTATATTTTGTTTAGTTTCAACATTAGGGAAGGGGAAATGTTTGAAGGAAAATGAGATTTTGTCATTAGTAGAAGGTAGATTATTAAGGTTCTAAATCAAAGAGTTTGCATTAATAACTGGATTAACCAATCGCAAGTGTGAATACCATTATATTCTTAAATAACGAAAGAAACTCGAACCTGACATTTGTCTAGCACGCGGCCATGAGCAATGTTCATTAACATACTAAACTTCGTCCAATGTTTTGTTTACCTTTGGTTCAAACTTTGCATTGATGGCAATGAGGTGCAACATATAATTCAATTCTTCTTTAAAAGTGTTTCTATTATCAAGATTTATTAGCAAGCAGTTCTTGTTACATCTCCATCAAACATTTCAAAATGTCAAACATCCTCCTAAAGAATCTCAAGATGTCGAAAAAGGATATCATTGCCTCTCTCAGATACGTCATCATTTCTTTCGGACACATAAGCGCCGTCTTCCTAAACTACTTCTCATTATATTTTCAAAGGTTTTTTTCACTCTATATGTTCTTCTTTTGTCACATGTCCTCCCACTTCCCAAACAATAATACCTTGATTGCAGACCATTTATTTAAAGTTTATTACGAATTCGTCATTCTTAATTCTATTCTTAATCTTATCTTCTTAATAAAGTACTTTTTCTCGGTAAATTTCATTTTAAAATAATTTCATCTAAGTTATGAATTTACTGTTAAGCCCAAAAATAAACCATATAAGTTGATGGTTTGGGGAAAACCCTATACTTTAATTTGGATACTTCTATCATCATAGCCTTTATGAAAGAAAAAAAAAATTTATTGATTTTGAAGAAAAAAAGATGATGAACTCTGTAGTGTTTTTCTATATTATAGTTCTTTGGCCATGTCTATGGTAGGACGACCTCCTTTTTTCCTACCGGTAGGGTGAGATCTAAAGGCTCAAATTCGATCTCAATGAGTGTCTACGTAGTCTCTTCTATGTGCATGCGAACAAAGTCTAGTGAACTCGACCACCTCCGGCGACAGCGACGCATGTGGCAGCAGCGGTGAACGGAGCAGCGGTGAACGGAGATGAAGCTTGGACCTACCCCTCATAATTTGACTCTTTTGAGTCCAATGGTGGGGTCAATTTCGACCAATTTGGCCTCTTAACTAGTAAATTAGACTTGAAGTTTCTGAGAAAAACCGACGACTTAGATCTCAGTTTCTGACGGTGGAACCTTAAAATTGGTAGAGGGCTTTTTGTTTCCCATAATCCTCTTAGCATTTTGCTAGCAACGACACATCACATGGTCGTCAAAAATTGGGGGGGGGGGGGGGGGGGGTCGTTCTCACCCACGGCGGCCGATTTATGCAACTCCGGCGATGGTGTTCTGACGAGAATCGACGGGTGATCTTGGACCGGTTTTGTTCGTATCGTTGTTTTGAGTCCATAAAGACCGGAATCACCTCGATCGGAGGTCGGACGACGAAGTTATGATTATTTGAAATTTGATTGTTTTTCGGACTTTCGTCGACGATTGCAACGGTTTCCAGCCAAGGTGGAAGTCACACGACACGCTAATGAACTCAGCTCGTCAAGATCTTTCTGATGATATGGATGGTGTCAAAAACCGACGCCAAGAACTCCATCATGGGTAGCGACCAGAGACGGAAAAGAAAAAGCTGTTTTTTGAATTTTTTTCTTTTTTTTTTAAAGTTAAATCATGTGTTATAATCTCTATTTTTATTTTTATGCAACCAATCATTTTGAACCGCTAAGGTTTCTACCAGTAGGATGAATTGGCTCACCCTACTATAGACTTCCCCCAGTTCTTTTTAAGTACAAAAAGCTACTAAAATATGGGATATGTAATCATATAATTATAAAATTCATAGTATTTTAAGGATTAGTTTTTTTCCCAGGATTATTTTGAAGTTTCATATTTGAAAAAGCAGAAACAAAAAACAGTAAAGTTCAAATTTTTCAAATGATTGAAAAAGCAGAAACAAAAAAACAGTAAAGTTCAGATTTTTCAAATCAGGGGGGTTGGGGGCTGCAAAAGGAAGAAAAAGAGAGTAGTACAATAAAGAGGGGCAGATTTGGAAAGGACTTTTAAAAGTATTGTTTGTTATTAAGGCTTCATTTTTTGGGGAAGTGAAAAGACACGTGGTAAAAGGAAAACATAGAGTAAGGGCTGCTCTGGCATTGTTTTTAGGGTACTTTTAATTTTCTTTAAAGAAACTATTATAATTAAGATATGCTTATTTTATCGATTTAAAATTTAAATTTTATTATAATAAAAAAATTTTATAAATAATTATATATAATTAGAGTAAGGGCTGCTCTGGCATTGTTTTTAGGGTACTTTTAATTTTCTTTAAAGAAACTATTATAATTAAGATATGTTTATTTTATCGATTTAAAATTTAAATTTTATTATAATAAAAAAATTTTATAAATAATTATATATAATTTT